CTGCCATCTTTTAACTGGTTTCTTTTCCTTTAGTCTTTTGCCTATTCTCTTGTCCTTTGCATTGCCACCAAAGGATGATTTCTGAAACATAAATCTATGTCCTCTAAATGATTTAAAAATTATGATGATTTCTCATGTCTTATAGGATAAAGACACAACTTCCCAAGCAGTTGCTTTCTCCTCCATGTTTTTATAGTGGTCCTTTACCTTAGAATCAACTGGCTATACTGCTCATAGTTTTAATTGAGTTGATTTCTGCATGGTAATGTCAGTCAGGGCTCAGGTGGGGAATCAGTCATTAGGAATGTTATGGGATAAGAGATTTATTATAGGAATAGACCTTGCACACCTGAAAGGAGAGAAGAACTGGGGAAGTGAAAGGGGTCATTAGAGGATCAGAGAAAAGTCACTGAATAATCTCAAAGCACTGGTGCAGGAAGAACCAGGGCCTAGAGAGGAATGTCCAGTGCCAAAGAGGAACACAGAGGGCAGCTCTGTCAAGCTGTTTCCTCTAAGTGGCTATCACCTCTGAGTCTGCTCCAAGTGTCTGGCAGGGCCATGTTGATTGGAAGGGCTGCAGTTGGGCAGAAGAGCCCAATTAGGAGTGGTAAAGGAGGATAAGCAAGAGCTGGCTGGACACTTCTGTGTCTATTCATGATCCTATCTGCCTGGAAAACCCTTCAAGGAGTAATGGCAGCTGGTTCTGCTCTGCCTCCCAAGTCTTGCAAAAGTTCTTCTTTCAGGTCAGCTCTTGGAACAATTTATGGAAGGAATTCTGGGAAATAGAACTCCCCACTGAATAGATTGGAGAGTAGATCCATCCAGCACAGCACTGTGATCCAGCCCCACAGAGGTGCCTGCAGGTGTCTGAACATGCTGAATTACTGCCAGTGACTTGCAGTGTGGATGCTGTGTCCTTTGTCTGATCTTCTTCCCCCTTCAAGACTCTCAAATGTTATTTCCTTGAAATCACAACTTCCTGAGCAGTTGCTTTCTCCTCCATGTTTGTATAGTGGTCCTTTACCTTAGCATTTAGCAAGTCTTTAGCATTTTTTTCAAGTTCCTTCACATAGTTTAAGAACTGAAGGGTGATGAAAGAGTGCTTATGTAGTGATTTGGAGGTGTGTGACAAGTAGGAGTCCACAATGGTTTCCCTCAAAAAGCAATGCCCTCATCAAGGTTCTCTGCCCCACGCAGCCACTCTTGGGTGAATCTAGGTGGTAGGGATTTAACTGATTGCTTCTTTCATCTTTTGTCAGTTGCAATATATTCAAGTGCTATGGCTATTCCCACTGGCTCTTGAGTCTACTGTTCAGCGGAATAGACTAACGCATAGCTGAGAGAATGTTTTTTTTTCTGAAGAAAAGGACAATATAGCTCATGTACTTAAGAGGAGAAGCAGACAACTACAAACTGACTGTTACAGATAGCTATGGAGATAAAATCATAGGAGCTGCAGGTTATCTGCATATGTTAAGGTGTAACTTAATACTTTGAGACTAGAGCACTACTTTGCCTTTTTCAGATTATAAGGCACTTGGTATTCTGAAGCGCCAGTTTCCTAACACATCACTAATTGGGCTGACTGCAACTGCAACGAATCATGTTTTGAAGGATGCACAGAAAATTTTATGTGTTGAAAAATGTCTTACTTTTACAGCTTCTTTTAATCGTCCAAATCTTTATTATGAGGTATGTAACTTTCATGTCAGTTTATTATTTTTGTGAAGAATTAGAGCAGAGATTGTACTTTTTCATTGTTTATTTATAAGAGTAACTATATTTAAAAGTGTTTAACATTGGGAGATAATTGTCAGAAGATTCATTAATTAGTGCTTTATTTATGTGTTTCATGTGCTATGCTATCCTCTATTACATTAAATAGAAGGCACTGCCTTGCTAGTTGATAATGCCTTTTATATAAAATTTGAACAAGTCACATATATTTGTTAAATTCTTGTTCAAGGATGGAGAGAAAGGACCCTACTGACGTCACTGTTGAAATTACTAAATAACAAAAATATGAATGTCATTAAAGCTTTGCCAGTACAGCATTTAGATCTTATTTAATACATGCACTTGAAAATATATCCTAATAGCTTGTTTCTTTTTTTCTAACCCTTTAAGGACAGATTTAATGATTTTCTCTGAGATCTCATTGATCTCTGGTTTATGTTTTTATAAAAGCAGCATTGAATAGTAAAAAAGTCTCCATCTTTACCAGTTACTCATTGCCTCTGTGCCACCTCATCTATGGCAAATTAACAAGTAAGAGTGAAGAAGAGAGGCTGGGAGGTGGCAGGAGTGAGTCAGATGGGTAGAGTCCAGTGAGGCATGTAAAAGAGGAATGAGGGAAAAACCCACTATGGTCATGAAAGAAGCACAAAACCACAAAAGCTGTAAGTCAGTGTCTTCTTGGATGGTACTCACTCATTGACTTTTTAACGAGAGAGTTCTTCTTATAGGTTCGCCAAAAGCCCTCAAACACTGACGATTTCATTGAGGATATTGTAAAGCTCATTAATGGGCGATACAAAGGACAATCAGGTAATGTAAAAATAAACCAGTTTTAGACTCTGAGAGATAACTCTCAAGCAGTAACTAATATTGTGTTGGTAATTATACTGATAAGTGACTTAACATCTACAAATATTAACTTACGGCAGAAGATTCCTGAAAATGTTGCGATGTGTTGCTTCTCTTGGTGATCTTGAAGACTGGGCTTGGCATTTCCTTATGTCACAGATTATAAGTCATAGAACTACTTTTGCTTTTGCTTTATTTACACTGAATTGCGTTAGGGTGGGCCTGCCTAGTGACAATGCTTATTATTAGTGGAACATGTTTAGTAACTTGTATGCATATTTGTGTAAGCTAAAGCACTGGTGTTCTAAAGGGATATAAAATATATTTCCTTTACAGTAAATGACACATGAAGAAGTAAATGGTACATTTTTAATAGGTTAAGCAAAGATGGAGTTGGGAATGGCTACCCCAGGATGCTGGTACAGATAACTAATGGACTATCTGTTCCAGGATTCAGAGTAGGCGAGTGATGCTGAAGCAAGAATTTGTGTAATGGTAACATTTCAAAACTGTTTTCTGAGGAGATATTAATGGGTGTCCATGGTAAAAGGAGTTCCAGGACAAATAAGTTGAGAAGGGCTACGGCTATCTATCCCTCCTAGAGATGCACAGGGTGTGAGTACACTGGAGGCTCTGATCAGCCTGAACAGAGAGATGCCTATTTCACTGTGTTGAATGCAGTGTTCCCCAAACTCATTTGCACATGAAACTCTTTTTTGACAGCACACTTGTTAACATCTTATGGAGCTGTGGGACTTCAGTTTGAGAAATGCTATATAGTGGGAGATAAAGTTGGAGAGAGAAAAGAGGTAATGGGAACCCAAACTGGTGGCTCAGTGCTCATTTCTGGTTCAGAGCAAGCTGGAGATCAACTCTTGAATTATACCCAAAAGTCAATATATGCTTAGGGCTTTGGAATTTTTCATTATTCTTCCTATCCCTCTGTACTTTGTATTAATCAATGTCTTTAAGGGTGTGTTGAAAATTATCTCCCTGGAATTTACTATTTACACATATCTAATACCTGGTCATATTTTACTGCAGGAATCATATATTGTTTTTCTCAGAAAGACTCTGAACAGGTTACAGTTAGTTTACAGAAATTGGGGATCCATGCAGGTGCTTACCATGCCAATATGGAAGCAGAAGACAAGACCAAGGTCCATACAAGATGGTCAGCCAACGAACTTCAGGTTAAGTATAAATCTTCAGTAGATGCCTAACATACCTTTAAAAATATTTGAACTTGACTTAATTAACTAATAAAGTGTTCAAACATTTTAGGTAGTCGTGGCAACGGTTGCATTTGGTATGGGAATTGATAAGCCAGATGTGAGGTTTGTCATTCATCATTCAATGAGTAAATCTATGGAAAATTATTACCAAGAGAGTGGACGTGCAGGTATATAGAAATCAAATCCAGAAGTAATTGTTACAGTGCTTTTCCAGAACCTACATTACAAATGCTTAGGAATTCCTTATTTTTAATGTTCTCTATCAGGTGGTTCTTTTAGGAAAATGAGTACTTTTTTAGCAGATCTGTGCTTATTTTTGTAGGGAGAAAATCCACTTATGTTCTATGGGGGTGTTATGGATGATTTCTTGTGTGTGATAATACCTGTGATGTTCACGCTGCCTCTTGAAAAATTTAGCTGTTGGTTTCAAATCTGTAACTTAAATAACTGGATATCTTAAGGATAAATTTTAATTTAATAAAGCTGTTGGTAAGTGTCTTGTCATC